TTAAGATATTTTTTATTACATCTGAGAGCTGGATCACTCCTGCATACTAGTCCATAGGCTTCTTGAGGGATTGTTGCTGGCCTCGAAAAGTTTTTAAAGACATAGTTAAAATAGTCCAAGTGACTACAGTGGCTCAATCTTATGTTTATCAAACGACGAGAACACTTTTTGTGCACAAAAAAGCAACAAAAATAACTACTTTATTTCAACTATTCATTTACTTCTCTCTCTGCCGAGAGTCAGGTTACTAGTTTAACAGCGTATGATCTGTTGTTGTACGTCACACGCATCACACACATGACCAGTGTCGGCCAATAACATAGCTCTACTCTATCACACTACGTTAACTGACTAGAGGCCCATAGAGAAGGAAGTGAATAGTTGAAATAAAGTCGTTATTTTTGTTTGTTTTTGAGCACAAAAAGTGTTCTCATCGCTTGATAAAGTTAAGATTGAGCCACTTAAGTCACTAAGACTATTTAACGATGTCTTTAATAACTTTTCGTGGCCAGCAAGTTTCAATTCCTCAAGAAGCCTATATGGAGTATACAGGAGTGATCCAGCTCTCAGATTTAATCAAAAATATGTTCCGAAGATGAACGAAGGTCTTACGGGGTTAGAACAACATGAGGGTGAGTAAATACTGACAGAATTTTCATTTTTGGGTGAACTAACCCTTTAATACACTGTTGATAATGTAATTAATAGATTATTACTCTTTTAGAGTAAGTTACCCAACATTGATTGACATGGTGTGTGAATGTACCTTTGCATACCCACAAAATATGCCATATGTAAAAAAAAAAAAAAGTATATTAACAAGAGTGTTTATTGTAATTCCATTAGTTAAGTTTATTTATTTATACTGCTTAAAAACAAACAAAAAGTATCTCGAGTAGCCTAATTTGCATAACTATTTACATAATTAGCCTACATTACGATGAACAGGTTTTACATGTTAAATACATAATGCTATTTAGCGTATTAAAACCAACTCAAACCCCAAATCAAATCCTCAGTATAGGCCTCAATGTTTTACCATCATTCAGTCATAAAAAATAGTTGTTGGCTCATTGCGGATTCACTCGGACCGATTCGGTGCGATTCGTGAACTAAATGCTAGACCCAAAGACTGCAAAATGTTTAGACCATAGACTGTAAAAGGTTTAGACCCATTTAATGAACCGTTTAAACTTGGGTTAAACCAAACCAAAGTCCTTTTAGGTCTTCGGTTAAACTGATTCATTGAAAAGAATCCATTCGAAGGATTCGAGTTAGTTCGAAGCTGCTCATCTTCTCAAAATGCTTCTCATTCTGTCATTACCGCGAGGCAAACATATCCTGTGAGATGTGCAAACTGTTCACTTTTATTACTTTTTGTTCTCAAATTGTATGCATCAGTTGTGAAATCAGACAGTCGCGCATAATGAATAAATCGCCCGTGGATTCGCGATGCTTGAGTCCCCACACGCAGGCACACACACACACACACACACACACACACACACACACACACACACACACACACGCGCGCGGTTTCGGAGACCGCCGCCCACGCACACTATAGCCTACGCAATAAACACAGCTCGCGGTGAGGAGTTGAAGGTTCCCATCACCCCTTTTCATAAACACACGCGCGTCCCAGATGCGCGATCTGCCCGCTCCAACACTCGCTCGAGTGCCCACGCACTACTTTTCTGAGCCATTGAAATATTCTGGTCTTCTCTCTCACTCCCACTCAGAGACGCGCTGAATCACTGCTTCAATTCATGCTAAGGTAATTCAGATGAACTCGTATTTGTTAGGGTCTTTCTGAAACTTCACAGCCTTAGTGATGGTGGAAAATCATCCGTGTGCACTGTGCAATGATGGAATCATTAATCCGCGTACTGTATTGATAATAATTGTAGGCCAATTTATCAAGCATTGCAGTGGTGGTTTATTTTGGAATAGGCTAGCCTATATTTTACATTTCCGTGTGCTTAAACCCCAACGTCCTAAATTGCACAGGTTATTTCACAATAAAAAATAAAATAAAATTTTTTTAATTTGTATTTTGAATAGCTCTCGTGTTGGAAAAAAAACCCACCCAGGATTAGAGCAATGTGATAGCCTATCCTCATTCTTAAAGAGTCAAACACATGGGTCTGTAAATGTTGTTGATGTGGGATGTGTAGATGCTGAAACTGAAAGCGTTCATTCTGGGACATTATAAGGAATCCTGTGATGGTGTCTGCCAGGAGATGGCATTTAGCACACCCACGAGAGATAGCACAAGTCATTCATTCCACACCAGACCCAGTGTATAACGAGTCAAAAGATCTGTCAGGCATGCATGATTTTCTGCAGGCTTGCCTTCAAATGTTTTTGCCATACATAAGCTGTCCGCTCATACAGACTAAATAATTTTTGAGCTATAAATGTCATCTTGTTCGGGTTATTTATTCTGTCATGCAACGGTTCAATAAACATAATAATGAACTTAATTTTTTAGAAATATTATTGGCAGTTACAGCCATCAGTGAAAAATAGTTCCAAATGAAAACGCATCTCTGAGAAACACAGCAGTGGTGTTTTATTCCTGAGTTATTCTGTATTTTTGAACAAACTTGGTTGACTGAATTATTGTGGATGATGATGCCACTTCTGGACAGAATTTTGGAAACATACAAACACAAGTGAAAAGTTGACAGGCACTCTAGAAATGCCAAATGAAATGTTCTGCCAAAATAAGCTAGCATACTATTATACTGAATAATATCAATAAAAGTGTGTTCACACATTGTTTGGCGAAATCCAGTTGTTTCAGTATGAACCCACACAATCAGGAGTCTCGCGTATGGGCAAAAAAGTTCCCCATGCAGATGTTATTCATTTTCAAGTTTTTCACATGGATTTGACACACTGGCCGACAAAGATTCTTGATTTGAGTGACTTGGTGTGAGCTTAACTTTAATCCAGCAAACAATAGCCATTTCACCGTCTAGGACTAGGTTAACAATAGTCTGGCTATGAGTAACCCACTTCTAGCCAAAAACCTTGAATTTGGTGACTTTTTTAGCAAAATAATTTGCGAGATGTAGAATAAACCATCACGCAAACAAAGGCAGTTCCATTTCTTATGTCTATTAACTTTTTACTGACAGCCCAAATTTTGCCTGGTTTTAGCCAACTGTAGACATCAGGGCCTTATTTGGATGGCTATTAGACGCAAAATTGCTTTCTGGGAATGTATAGTCACATTATTTTTTTTTAGTCAATTGTCTATTTTCAATTGTGTATCGATGTATGAAGCATAGCTCAAACCAAACAGCTTTCTGTTGGTTAATGCAACACTTTTTTTGTGACTTGAACCCGTTGAGATATCTGTTACCCCTTTTCCACCAAAAAAGAACTGGTTCGGAACTGGTGCTGGTTCAAAGTTGGTTCGGAGTTGGTTCAACTTCCGAACCTTTTCAGAACCTGTTTGTTTTTCCACTGACTAGAGCGCCCAGGGAACTACGTCATTACGTCAGTGTGTACGTCGCCATACGTCTTAGCCATCTCGCGGAGGGCGGGCAAAGGTGTGCTGCAACCGAGTCCTCGACGGGGGGGATGGATGAATAGCCTTTCTAGGCGGCTCCATGAGACCGGGTCCTGGCCGAAAGCGGCGCGTTCCACGACTTGGAGAGTTCAGTGCGGAGTTCCGGCAGGAAGGGTGCGGCCCAGTTAGTAGCGGGTGCTGCGCTCCGACGGTTCTGGAGAAAACAGCCATCGAGTCGATTGGGGGCCTGCTCAGGGGTCGGTGACCACTCGAGCCTAAGGTGGTCGACGGCCTGTGAGAGGAGGCGCATTAGTTCCTTTTCGACTCCGGCGCAGGTCCTGCTGGATTCCATGGCCGAGGAGGAGGCATAACAACCTAACCACTCCTCGCTGTCTGAAGCCAAAAGGAAAGAAACTTCCTTCTCATCCGCTTCGTCATCAGAGGCGGCAGCTGCATGTCCGGGGGGGCCGGAGAGGGAGAAGGCGAGGCTCGAGGGAGAGGCTCCGGCGAGACAGTCGCTTCCATAGAAGGTTCCGGCGGCCTTTGGGAGAGGCGTTTCTTCTTACACGGCGAAGTGAAAGTTGGCGCGGCAGCTTAAGTCTTGAAAACTTTGCGTCGAGCCTGTAGAGGTCGACAACGAAAGCTCCTCGCAGAGGTCGCATCCGCCTTCGGCGAGAGTGAACTCTGCGTGCTCCGGTCCCAGGCAGAGAGCGCAGATAAGGTGCCGGTCTCCGCCGCTGAGAGGGGTGTGGCAAGAACCACAGGTGTTGCGAGGCATCTTTAAAAAGACGCTCGCTCCTCTGTTTGTGAACTTCACCAAAAGAAGTAGTGCTCCAAAAGGATACGTCACCGGATGGCGTAGCCAGCTTACACAATACGAGAGAACCTCTCGTGAGAGAATGGACATTTTAACATGGGGTCTATGGATATTTCCCTTTTGGCACCTCCCTCTAGCGGTTTTTGATGTATTGCAGTTTTTCGCACTTCCGGGTAGGCTTCATTTTTCAGATTAGAATGTTGCCACTTGCGAAAAACACCTCATGAGAATGTCCTTGCAAGTAGAGGAAGGGGGCACATACATTTTTGAAATAATGATTTACAAGGATAAATAATTTATAATAAATATTGCATTCCATAAAAAAGAGTTAAAACTGCATGCTTTAAAAATGATTTACATAAATAAATAAATACTAGGTTTATTTAAATATTGATAATGTTTTTAATATTTGTTATGTGTATCTGCACAGTAGAACTATATGACTTTATTACATCATTATTATCATAAACTGTTATTTTTACTTGTCGTATGACATTGCTCTTTTTAGAATAATAGTATAATATTTTTTTTAAATACTGTCCTGGTAATGAGAGAAAAAGGACTGACAGTTAGAATGTGTTTAGTTTTTCATCGGTGGAGGTCGCCAGCTGTACTGTGTCGGGGCTCATCCTCACTTACTTTCTATCTAGAGTGGTTTGACTCAAAGCATAGACGCCCACCTATCCGCTCTCTCCGACTCACTTTCCACCGAGCGTTTCAAAATGGCGGCAGCTTCATCCATCCAGCCGCCGAGCGTGCACGGGATACAGCGGGAAAACTCACCTCATCCGGAGTCCGACAGCCCCGCGAGCCGACAGGAAGAGGACGCAGCATCCGAGGGGATCACCATCCTCAGAGATCTACCAGAACTTGATCCCGAGGAGATCGAGAAACGGCTGGAGAAAACTCGCAGAGAGCTGAGCAACAGGAGGAAGATCCTTATTAAGAACCTGCCACAGGATACAACTAACCAGGTAGAGAGATTTACATAGGCTACATCAGCCTGACAGGTGAAAGTTTCACTGCTCACTAACGTTCATGAGAAAAAGAAACGCATTTCCATGGGCTCATAGCGTTAAGTATGTTTGTCAAGATACATGTAACAGCTTTTATTATTTCATGTGATTACGTTAACTTAAGTTACATCTAACGTAAACAGTCAGTTTAGCACAGCACGTATGGTGTAGCCTATATATTTTCAACCAAAATAAATAAAATGGCAAACACAATTAAGTTCCTAGAAAGTTCAATTAAAACAATTGTTTGTTTGAAATACGGATATTTGGTATCAAAGTAACGGCTGAGTAAACGCAAAATTCCGTTTAAAAGTGACCTTGAAAGATGAATGAATAGAAAAGTGCTGAAACTTTACGTTATCATTGGAAAAGCTGTTAGTATAACTGTGAGCGCAACTCAAAACGTTATTTGTTTTAAAAATAACAAAATATTTATTGTGAATCACCACTGAAGTGAAACGAAAACACAAAATCGTAAAATATGCAGTAAAATAACAGCCCGTCGGCACCTTTTGATGAACGCGCCGCGCGCTCCGTCTCCGCTGTTAACGAGCTGCACACCGTCTCTGTCTGGTTCAGTTTTAAATAAATCTTTTTGTCTTATCATGTAGCCTACCCCTGCAACGTACACATAAACACCCATTAACATTGAACTAATTCCGTGTAACTGTTAATACAGCCTAGGCTACTGTATTTCTTTCGAAATAAATTAAAGGTGAACACTCGGAGTTTCATTTTAATGAGCCATAATGTTTGGTTTTCTTTTGTTTGGTCAAATTAATCCGAATGATTTGCTGATATAGCTACTGATGTCGTTCCTTTTAAAACTGTTATGATATTTAAAATGACTTGTTTACTTATTAATGAAGGAAGCATGCATCAGCTTTTATTAATTTGCCTGGTTGTAGTTAGACGTTGTCTTGAGGCTTGTTTGCTCATGGAGACAGACTGACTGAGATCCGGCTGAGGGCGTTCAGGCAGGGAGAACAGTACAGCGGTGAGCTGAACTCCTGAGTGGGAGATTTTCATATTCAACGAGCTGAGGTAGCTGAGGTCGCTGCTGCCGATGGCATTTCCTACAGAGTTTTCCCCACATTATTAATGTCAGTAAACATGCCGGATACCTGGCTCCTTGAGGGAGGTGTAATATTTCCCCAGCTTCAGGGGGAGATGAATGCAGTTAATATCCAATTGTTAGTATCTCCTGAACATAAAACGTCGCACTGTACATCTGCTCTTCAACAGTGATCAAAACATGCACTTTCCTAGGTTCAGGTTGGCATGATTATCTCATGCAAAAAGCTCGGGGGGAGTTTATAGGTGATTTCAGGATGATTTGGGACACTTTTTCCAAGTCATCTCAATGGCAAAAAGGTGTCCCAATCATCCTGAGTTCACCCTATGATTAATTGTTTTGATATTGTATATAATTTCACATACCACATACTGCATGGTGTATTGCAAGCACCTAACTTGAGACAGCACGACAGTGAGTAACAGTTTGGAGAAGAGTGTCAAGTGCACACCACCGCTGTGAGCGGGTCACAGAGTAGCTGCTTATCACTATAAGAACACATGTCAGGCAAAGCAGCTCTCTCTTTCGGTCTGTGTCCCTCATTCATACACAATCACTCCACTCCTTACACTGAATAATTTAGGAGCTGGTCGGTCGCAGGTTGGGGCAGGATAAATGTCAGAAATCATGTTGATTGGCTCTTTGTCAGGTGACATCTGGGTGATCTCAACCCCTCCCCACAGATGAGCTCTGTCCACTTTTCCACAGGTTTGTTGTTGTGAATTAGTTTTTATATTTTCCTTTTTTTAATTTAGTTTTTAAAAAGATTAGGTCTATATTTTTATTCAGTTACTGTAATTTAGTGCATCAAGTTAAACTAAATGAAAAACGAGAAGTGTTGCCTTTTTCCAGTTAACATTTATTTTAAGTAATTTAAATGTTTTTTTTTAAATGATTTTAGTTAACTAAAGCCTATATTAGCCTATATGTGAAACAAATTAATAATAATTTAGATAATAATTTACTGCCCCAAAGCTGTCTTCTGTCAGTTTTTTAACGTAATCCTTGAAACCATTAGGCTTTTATCATCTACCCCTAAATAAAAAAAAATCAGATTTCAAATCTGCCAAAATTTGAGGAAATATGTATTCTTATATGTTTAGAATTGCTAAGGGATCAGATTCAGCAGGGTTTTAACATAAAAACCTCAAAACATGGAAAAGACATACAGGTACCTGTTTTTTGTAGTTCTAAGCCAAGTATGCCACTTGAAATCACGTGAAATAGACAGTCAACAGAGAGCTTACATATCACTTATTTAAAGCTTGATCGGTATCGGCAGATTGTGATGACAAAAATCGGTATTTGGTATCGGCTGCAAAAATCCTGATCGAAGCATTCCTACTTTTTACCTAGTGTTGCTCGCTGGAATAAATTGTTTCCTTTCCCCTTCCCTCTGAAGATTAGTTTTTGACTGCATGGTTTCAATTTCTCTCTGTTCTGTCCTGACCTCTCATCACCTTGGCTGTTGAATCGGGTCACCATAAGACAAAGCAAGCTCTGCACCTGATAAGAGTTTTCATGTCTCACCCCACTATCTGGCTTTCCTGTGTGCAAAAACCCTTACATTTCATCATGTATGTAGTAGGAGACTGCAGCCTGACCAAACTCAGACTAAAATACAAGTTGTTAAACTCATCTAAAATGCAATGAAACAGTGAAACAATACAAATCACAGACAATTAAATCCAGTTGTTCTGCTGTCCATTATGAACAGTTTTTTGAAAAAACATTCAATTAAATAGAATAAATCAATTAAGGTCATAGACATAGTAGATAAAACAACCAAGAAATGTACAGTACCATAATGAGTATGTTGTAGAAAATGTTAAATGCTCCATGAAATGTATGACTAAATATAATTACTAGGAGACAGAATAAATCTACATGGAAACTAGATGTTTTTCATAATTAATTCCTGAGGTATTGCACACAATCCTGTTAGTTTTCCATCTATGTTTGACATTGCCAGGAACCGGGCTAATATAAAAGTGAAAGATTATCTAATTTAGTGAAAATAACAAATTTGTTCTGCACATTGTTGCCTGAAAATGAACAACTAGCATATTTAAAAGTGTGTGTCGGATAGTTGGATAGCAGCTTTGATCAATGTCACAGACCTACAGCACATTTAGAAAAAAAAAAAAAAAATAACCATCTCATCGTGGCCATGTCTTCTCGTTCAGTACAAAAATTATACAGAAGTGATCATATTTAAACTCTCACTGATAAATTCCTCTCTCTTTTAGTTTTAACTTCCCCTTTTTAGTTTTAAATCCTCTTGTTAATGCAGACCATCTTTCAGCATGAACTGTGCTTCATTGGTGAATTTGCGGAGAGGCATTAATCAAGGGCAGTAACCTCCATTCGTTCTGTTAGCTTTCACCCGTCTCAAATGTTTAGTTGAATCATAGCGTCCCGATGCTGGTCCTGATCCATATCTAATGGTATCCGGATGCTTACTCAGGCTTTCTGGCCATTTATGGGCCATTACAAATGCATGTGTTAAGAGAAAGCCATAACTGAGGCAGACTTCATTGTGTGGAAAGTGGCTTGTTGACTCTGTCTAGAGGGAGAGGGAGGGAATGCCTTGCTATTTGAAATGGCAAAGAAAGTGAATTAGACTAAATGTTCTTCCGTTTACCTTACAGAATTTGAAGCTGAAAAAAAATGTAGTTTAAACGTACTGTATAGTACTAGATTAAATGCAAGTCTGTGCTGTCTGCTCAATTTCAATTGGGTTTCAGACATCAAAAAAATTTTTTTTACAAAAAATGTTTATAGAATGCTGCTGGGTGCTCCCTGCACTTTTTAAGTTATTATTATTAAATAATGTTATTATTAACAGTTCTGGTTAGGTAGGTAGGTTTAAAATCATTTAAAGAAAGTATTAGTCAAAACCCTTTATTATTCTTAATTTTGACATTAACTTACATTTTTACACCAGACATAGACTGTATATCGGTTCAAAATATCGGTGGTTTACTTGATCTGTAATAATCGGTATCGGCATCGGTCCTTAAAAAAATCCATATCGGTCGACCCCTAGTGTGTGTGTGTGTGTGGTAAATTCGATTTGATTTGTACTGACCTGCTTTTTATGAATTCAACAAAAAGTTGACAAATTCCGTGACATTCGTAGCCTGATTTCGTCATACTCATATTCTAGTCAGAATGTGAGTCTCATACTGCTCCATTATGAGGCGGATCGTAACCGAAGCAGGAAAAAACAACAACTCTGAACTTATTTGGAAAGACCTACAACCAATCAGAGCAATGCAAAGTAAGTGACATATGTTGAGCTACGCATGGACGTCAACAGAACTCAACTGCACGCACACTGGAAGAAGTAGTAAAATAATGAGTGTTGCTTCTTTTACTTGGCCCTCCATGAGTGCGACCAAAGGAGAAACCACAACGACTACAGGGTTTTCATTGCATCCCATCTTCTTAGCGACCATCGAAGCCAGCTGTAAATTAAACTTTTGCCGAATCCCGTAGGAAGGATGGCAAACACATCTTTCCGATCGACAAATGCCTTGATTGCAGTTCTCTGTTCGTCTTTTAAAATGAATGCGCTGTCAATTTCTTTTACAACAGACGCATTTGTGGAATCTTACATCCCTTCTCCAGCTGCAGTCGTCTTTGAGTGAAACCAGTTCAACGTTGAACTTCAACCCAAGCACTCTTTGATAAAGTGATGATTATGTAACTGTTTAATGGCCCAACGATTAAATACTCCTCAATGGATCAAGTCCAGACCGAACTTCCTGACCAAAAAATGTTGTTTGCGGGGTTAGGGCTGGCATTCAGGCTATGACATTCCGACAGAGCAAAATATAGTTCATTTTAAAATCAAATTATTTTATCTGCAAATCGGTTTTGAAAATGGCCGATACCGATAACCATAAAAATGCTTTATATCAGCGACGATAATCGTCGGTCGACCCCTAAAAAGGAGATCCGTTCATCTGCGGAACACAAATGAAGATATTTTTGGACTTAAATTCTGACCCCCCTATAGATTCCAATGTTATTTCCACTCTCAAGGTAGTAAAGATATCATTTCATTCATTTGTGTTCGAAAGATGAACGAAGGTCTTACAGGGTTTGGAATGACATGAGGGTGTGTAATCAATGACTTAATTTTCATTTTTGGCTAAACTAACACTTTAACTATTATATTCATTGTCAAGTTGCTTGACAAAATCATGAAACTAGTCTAATGACATACTTTTCAGGAATCTTAAGAGCTAAGATCACTTAACTTATGATCAACGTGAAATTCACAATTTTAGCTCCTCAGTAAAATCATTGTGAAAGTCCGATAGACTGGCAGGTTTACATGAAAGTACATGTCGCAGTGAGTGAACAGTAACATAGCACACATTAACAGCCCCACACTGTTTCTGTATGCCATGTCCCCTGCCGGATTCTAGAAGCCCTTTGTCATAATTCAAGTGTGTCCTTCTGGATGTTCCTTATGACCTGCTAGAGAAAACACAAAGCCAGTGTGGGCACCTCTGCTTTATCTCTCTTTACACATGTTCGAGATGTGACAGCAGGGCCTGCTGTGTGCATAAAAGGGAAGAGGAAGAGATTTATGAGACAGCGTTTGTGTGTGTTTATCTGATGGATAACACTGTTTCTTTGTGTGGCTGCTTTTGGGAACACTATTTTCATGGCCACACCTTGAAAATTGTATCGATTTTCATAATCATAAACGGACATTTGTTTGTATGGTTCCCTATATATTTGGATGATCACTCACTGGATTTATTATTACTGAATCTCTTGAGTTTTTTTTCTCTGATGATGTGTTTCACCAGAAAAAAAAGTTTATGCACTTTATTTGATTTTAGAAAATGAAGAAACCCTTCTGAAAGAGATATTTTATGTCTCAGATACTCTTTAAGTGATGGCTTGAGGCCAAATGCGACATTGTTCGCACAATGTGCCTACATTATTTCCTGAATCCTCACACAAATGAAATCATCAGCCCTATACAATATATATGCATGCAAGATAAATTATTGCCCTATAACGTTAACACCTTGTTGAACCAGTTATGCTTCTTTTCAAATCTTTCGGTTTAAGCATAGGCATATTTATTTTCTTTAAATTTCGACTACAATAGTGTTCCAACTTTTTACTTTTTAGACTGATTTCTCACTACAGACAGACTATAGTGCATTATTGTAGTGTATTTTGGTGACGTAATTGTGTTTTTTAAAATGCGCATTGTATAGAGTGTAATAATGGTCTATCCCTGACACAATTTATTTTATTTTATGCTCTTGTTTTAGTATATAGCTTATTCACGACTTGAGCTCTTGCTCTACTCCGGGTTTTCCATTTACTCACCAGTAAAATGAAAAAGGAACAAAGCTCAGCCAATTAAATGTGAAAGTAATTAAACTGTTTTATAATGTTATTTAATTTGTATAACGAAAAACAATCACAGTTGTATTCTCTCTTTATTTATACGTAATCTACATACAGTGTAGAATTAATTTTCTCTCTTTTTCATTCCCCCCAGGAGGTCCATGAAATTCTGAGAGAGTACGAACTCAAATACTGTTTTGTGGACCGGAACAAAGGAACAGGTAATTGGCCTCCTTCAGTCATCCTATTGCTCTCATGTTTCTAATGGTTCTTTTCCATCTCAGCCATCAGAATCCAGACCTCCACCACACATTTGCCTACTTAGCGCACCTGAGATGTTAATTTCCTGTGGTGGTGAATAAGCACTTACAGAGAAGTGTCTTGATGGAGAGTCTCGGCTCTCTAACTGCAGAAATGTTGCCTGTTCCTTTGAAGTAAAGTGAAGCTTTGAGGTTATTTGAGTTTTTACATTCTGTCACAGTACTGATTTGTCCATTTCTATTTCTGTTCCATTTTAAATATTGAATCTAATGAGCAGGTGCATTTTAGATCTCACATATAATTTTAACTTCATAATAATATAAATGAATCAAATGTAATATTTTAACTATCACTTACAATGATGATCTTCTAATACATCACAAAGAGCTGCTATTTCAACTGTGTTTTAGGCAATTGGAAAGCTCAGGTTTACTTCCAAAATAAACCAAGCTTGTCATTTTCAACCATGCAGAAAAATAATTTTAAGTCTAACATATGGTAAAAAGACAAATAAAGGATGATAAACAAACATGTTTTGAAGTCAAGCATAACCTGTATTTCATTGTTTCAGTTAAAGTAATTAGAGGAAACAGCTTAAAAAGAGGAAAGGCTTGTTCACTTAAAACTGGTACTGATAGTTCATAGGTTCGGAGTGAACGACAGGAATAATCAGGGTCTTTAATTCAAATATACTCAAGAAAACTCAGGGAAACTGATTCACAACACCTCAACATTGACGAGACAGGACAAGGACTGCAAGAACACAGGGAGTATAATACTAGAACAAATGAGGAGAGGCTAATTAATTGGATGACAGGTGTAATGAATCAAACAGACACTAGACTAGGGGCCTATACCGTGAAGCCGGTTTAAGTGGATAGCTGGGTATGTTTCAGTTTAGTTTAAAGGGGTCATATGATTGTTCTAAAAAGAACATTATTTTGTATATTTGGTTTAATGTAATGTGTTTATATGGTTTTAGGATAAAAAAGTCATTATTTTACACATACTCCACATTATTGTTGCTCAACTATTCCCCGCCTTTCTGAAACTCAATGGTTTTTAAAGAGTAACTAAACACTAAACCAACTTTTTTTAGTTAATGATCTGTAAGAATTGATCTTTATTAATACCAGTCATTGATTCGAGTAACTTTTTTGACATTTGTTTATAAAGTGTTCTATTTCTACAATATATGGTGTAAAAACGTCTTAGTGCTGCCCTCTTCAGGTTGAACGGTGGCTACTGCAGTTGAATTTTCCTATTGGATGTTCCGCACTTTGTGACGTACGCAGGTTTCATCTCACCACGCGAGCTACGCCCTTGGCAGTATAAAAACCATCTTATGTCGTCAAAACCACTGTAGGGAGTCAAGAATTGGAATTGTGAGTATTGAAAACGATCAGGATAGAGTGTTTAACATCTATTTCGCCCCCTCTATCTCCGCTGGGGTCAGCCCACTTTTTCAGCATTTTTCAAATATTGCCAGTGGGTGGAGTCAGGCTCTGACCAGGGGTTTAGTTACCCTTCAAATATTTTTCTGAAAAGCGCGTTGTCCTCTAATTGGCTAGCGATCCAGTGCATTGTGATTGGCCCAAAAACCTTAAGCGTGTGTTGGAAACGTCATGCCTCTTACCATATCTGGAACATCAGCTCCCAAAGCGATAATGTCGGTTCTGCCTTATCAATTCGAGTCTGAATCTGAACCGGAAAATGCAGATGGCCAAGTTGATGGATCAACTTTGCCAGCGCGACTGGGGCAGAACGTAGCAAATTGTTAATGTTTTATTTCATTGGGGACATAATTACTGAATATAATTACTTACTGTCTTTTTGTGTGTCGCGCTACAGGTGTGAGAACACTATGTAACTATAAAACTATGTCTGCATTTGTGATCATAGAAACAACAAGCAAGTGCTACTCTAAACTGCTCAAAACTCGTGTTTGAATAGTCAGTAGCAAATTCTTGGAAACATACTATGAAAACAAGTCTGTGTCTTCGAGTCAGAAGCGCCAGAATATACCTGCAAGAATCAGACTTTGTGCACAACACCAGCCTTGTTCTGGAAACAGTTCTCCAAAGAATGTGCAACACACAGTCGAAACTTTTAGTTGTACTGTTCTGGAACAGTGTTGTAAGCCAACCCTGGGCTTTAGGCACCATGAAAGTGGCTCGGCTTTTGGCTGTTTACTTGAAACAAATCTTGTAACCCTGAATTTGTTCAACTACCATCTTGGTAAAGACCCTAGGAAAACTAGGGCAACTGACAGGACAGAACCAAAATGCGACAACATTCACACTCCTCCAGACCTTAAAAATGTAAGCAAATGGCATGTGCGCATACCTTTTACAGACTGCCTAAATTTGGCATAACCTTTACCGTGTCAGTTCTGGAAACAGGGTGTAGTATATGTTTAGTCCTGTTCATGGAGTGCGAACAATACCTTTACTTTGGGCATAGATTGAATCGGAAAGCATGTCAAATAACACATGTAAAATCGTTTTAAATCTTTCACTGAAATTATGAAAATACCTCCTCTAAATGCAACAATTGTTTCTGAATGTTGTTGTGATGGGAACAATAAACCTTTTATCCAAATTCAGTGCAGGATTGTAGACGCAAACCTGGGCAAATTTTCAATGTCTCACAGTTAGAACTGCTATGATATCTGTAGAGCTAACCGCATCTTGCAGAGTGCTACAAGCAACTTGCTTTGAAATGTTGTTGAAAAATGAGCTCTAATGTCTTATTTATTAAATATGGAGGAAGAATTAAAATTTTCTAGTATCATTTGGCTTATCTTCATGTCAGTTTGAAAAACCATGGATGATCAAAGCTCAAATGCTTCAGTGTAATGGGGTTCATAGGAGTTGAAATCTATTCTGAGTTGCACGAAGGGATGTAGCCAAGAAAGATGTTTTCCTGGATCAATGTTCTTTGTTGGTCCGGGAAAAGTATTTCTGTGATTGGTCATCCCTTCCTTTGAAATTCGAGATACATTTTTGGTTGATAAGAACTTTGTTCATGCCTCTAACACAATCGAATGACTTAGTCGAACGTTTTAAAACAAACTAAAAACAAGCAATACATTTGTTACAGTATGTATTATCATTCGTTAATGGTGGTTAATAAAAATAAACCTATTTTCTGGTTCCTGTTAGCTCAGGTCAATTAAATAATATTAACAGATACAACTTTTGATTTTAATAATGAATTAGTATGTTGAAATTAGATTAATAAATGATTATGATTTTGAAGAATAAATTGTTAGTTCATGTTAAAGGGTTAGTTCACCCAAAAATGAAAATTCTCTCAGTATTTACTCACCTTCATGTTGTTCCAACCCCGTAAGACCTTCGTTCATCTTCGGAACACAAATTAAGATATTTAAGATATTAAGATCGCTCCTGTATACTAGTCCATATAGGCTTCTTGAGGGAATGACTTGCTGGCCTCGAAAAGTCATTAAAGGACATCGTTAAAATAGTCCAAGTGACTACAGTGGCTCAATCTTAAGTTTATCAAACGACGAGAACACTTTTTGCCCTCACCCTCTGCCTCGAGTCAGGTTACTAGTTTAATAGCGTAAGCTTCTGTTATTGTACGTCACACGCATCACACACATGACCAGCGTCGGCCAATAGTGAGCCTACGTGTGACGTAGCTCTACGCAATCACACTACGTTAACTGACTACAGGCCCATGGAGAAGGAAGTGAATAGTTGAAATAAAGTCCTTATTTTTGTTTGTTTTTGCGCACAAAAAAGTATTCTCGTCGTTTGATAAAGTTAAAATTGAGACTATTTTAACGATGTCTTTGATGACTTTTCGATGCCAGCAAGTGTCATTCCCTCAAGAAGCCTATGGACTAGTATGCAGGAGCGATCTTAATATTTTAAATATCTTAATTTGTGTTCCGAAGATGAACGAAGGTCTTACGGGGTTTTGGAACAACATGAGGGTGAGTAAATACTGACAGAATTTTCATTTTTGGGTGAACTAACCCTTTAACTAATGTAGTTAACTAATTGTAAAGTGTTACCAATGAATTAATATGAATAAAATCATTCAAATAATTTTTTGTGTGTATATATAACATATCTCTCAGCCGTAGCCAATCCACGTGTGCCCACTTTCAGAATGAACCTCAGCTGCAACCTCATTTTGCACAGTCCAGTGCTAAACCTAAGGCTGATTATCAACCTGCACCTTCATGTAATCAGGGGATTCTGGCCTGCTAAATGTCGTCAGTGCCTAAAACCCCTGGCAGCATGGCAAACATTCCCACATGCTCTAATTAGCAGTATCTAGGGATAAAGGTGAAACACCATGATGATCTCATCCTCCAGCCGCTCAGGGCTTGTCACCTCCTGCCAGCACCACAGCAGAGGCTCTGATGTCAAGGATCATCAGAGTCCAGCGTGCCTGCAGGTGCTGGAACGCTACTTTTGCACTTCCCTGAAACTACGTAGTTGAGCAATTTAAAAATGACTGATTCACATCATGTGACCTTGAGTTTATGTTGAAGAGAGTAAAAGAAATAAAGAAAGGCGAGGAAGTATTGATAAAGACAGCAAGGAACGAAAGTAATCAGAGATGTGAGAACGAATGACAGCTTGTACGATGTGGAAGATGAGGAAAAGAAAAAAAAGAAATCCTACAGAAAACAATTTTTTGTCTCATCTGGCGTACAGCCCGGAATTGAAATATGCTCTGATATTCCCAATGCTGGAGGCTTACAGTAAGGGAATTACACACCTCCCCCTTCTTGCTCATGTTATAGTTGCATCGTACTGCATTATGAATGTTCCTAGGCTAAATGATCTGAACATATGCTTTTAAGGCCTGCCAGGGAAGAGCAGCCTTCCAAAACAAAAATAGTGACAATGGTGGGAAGCTCTCATTTCAAACAACCCGTTCTTAGAAGCACAAGTCTGCATTGTTACTGATGTCAAAG